AGTGAGAATTTTTAGGAGGATTATGAATAAAAAAAAACTTCATGAATTTAATGTAAAAAATGTCAGATCAACAATGTAATTAATTTTCAGTTTCAGATTATAATGCTAGTCATTTCGATAAAGTAATACCCAAGTGGGTAGCAAAATTTCAAGAAGATATGCTTTCTATTTTAACTTTTCATGTTGCAGATATTGCAAACAAGTTATATCATTATGTGGAAAGTTATCCTAAAGGACTCTCAATTATTGAGTAAAATTCATTTGGACAATTGATTAAAACCAACTCTTTTGAAACTGCCCATGAGATATACAATCCTTATTCCGATTATTACAACCGAGGTGGGAAAATTTTTTTGAACTTTAACTGGAATAATAATTTTGGAAGGGAAGAAAAATTGTGGGAAGATAATCAATTTAATCAGACATGTAATTGGAATAATCAGAATGACTTTAATGATGAACTTTCTTTTCCTTGTAGATTTAACTCCAACCCACAGGATAAGGAGAAGGAATTACTGTTAGAAGAGGTTGTAATTCAAATGATGAGTCAATTGGAAAGTCTAGGGGCTACAATAATGAATATAGAAAACTAACTAGAGTAGATTATTAATTCAATTAACAGTTATCCTCCAGAAATTTTACCTGAGATAAACCTTAAGGAGAAGAATAATTGGTAAGATAAAGCTATCCAACTTAGAAGTGGAAGAGAATTGAAGGATATGGTTCAAATAAATATGGTTCAAATAAATAAATGTTGAGTTGGGAAAAGAGGAAAAGGAGATTGAAAGACCAATGGAAGAAATTCTTAAGGAATTAGAAATAGAAAGCTTATCTTTTTGAACTATCGTATAAAGATCCTTTTCTTATTAGTTTTAAGAATGATATTACTATGCAAGTTGAGAAAATCATTAGAAGAATATTGGAACTAGAAGGAAACTTGAGGAACAATAATTGTAATCAGTCTGAAAAGAAAAAACCTGAAAAAAATGAACTTTGAGGATTTAGTAAGAATCCTAGGATTTCAAAAAGATTGGGTGATTGATCAAGGATTACTTAAATAGAATTTTGATCCGAGAGGAACCCTTTGTCGGGCTGGAGAAGTTAAAACAAACACTTTATGGGAGGCAACCCATAGTTATCAGTGTGGTTTGATTTAGTATGCTTGAGAGGCATGATTGTTAGTGTTGTATTGTGTTTGCTTTAGTGTGGATCATTCAGCTTGATTGATGATAGGTGGATGTTTGGATTGTTAGTGGTTTGATTTATTTTTTATGTGTCATGAGGGAGATGATTCCTTAACTTCTCATTATGGTTAGACTTGTATTTGTTCTCTTGTAGCAGTTGGATTAATGAGTCCACTTTGACTCGGGTCTCAATCAGATTTGAGTTTTACTGAAGACATCTTGAGTTTGGATAGAGATAGTTCCAGCTCAATTTTGTTACTTCCTTTTTTTTTGATGTTTTCATTACTATGAATCATGAACCTACTTGGTGTGCAACATGTGGATGATCTTACACTACTCGTATAACTGTTTGAGGTGCTTAATTAATGAGATAAGGTGATGCCTGAGGTTTGTGCTCGTGAGCCAATATATCTGGGATAATCATGTCTATGGGGTTGGCCCTATAAAAACATTTATAAATACTTAATTGATCAACGAAGAGATTCCGTTAGAATTGGAGGTAAGGTAGTAAGATGTGATGAGTTAAAGGAAGAATTGATTTCATTTATCATGTGTGTTTTTGTTTTGTGTTATAGCAATAGAAAGGACTTGGGGAATACTTAAATTTATATTCCTATGCTGATATCTGTTATGCTAGTTAGACTTTTCTTTACTTTAATTTTATTCTGGCATGTTTAGTTTAGATTTACATTCTACTACATATTGTTATGTCTTGATGAATATTTGTAGATGTATCTGATAGACATTTGTGGTAGATAAAATTTATGAACTATTTTTTGTTCTTCTTATATTTTTTTGTACTCAATGTTATACATGTTAAAAATCAAGTTTGTGGGAGGGGGGAAGAAAAATAATTTTAAAACTAAATTTTATTTGTCCCCAGTAGCTTGTACTTAAATTGATATTATTTTAAAATGACTTGTGGTATGCTGTTTTATATTCAGGATGCTATACTTTTGATTTTTAGAAATGTAATAAGAAAACTTGGTAGAAACTTTAGTAAAAAAGATGAAACTAAAGTTAAGATGTAGTAAGAAATATTAGGGAAATGATTTTAGTATTTATAATAGGAAAAATTGAGTTTTTGAAAAAAATAAAGATTTTTAGAATATAACTTTTTGAAGAATTTAGAATCTATTAAAAATTCTTTTTCAAATACTACATTTTAAGTTAAGGATGGAAAATAAGTTTTTAACTTTAGAAAAGTGAGAGTAAAATTCAAAATCATTAAAGACCTATCCAAATATTATAATCCTCACTTAAAAAAAATTAGGGATTAAAAAGATCCTGAAAAGGAAAAGAAAAAAAAAGAAGAATAAAAGAAAAAGAAAATAAAAATAAAAAAAAGAAAAGAAAAATATGACAAGGGGGGAGAAGCTTGAGGAATAGAACCTAATTAAAAATTGATTTCACTTGAATCTTTCTAAGGAAGAAAACTTAAGATAAATCCTATGCTTAAGTTTGGAAAGCAATAGTAAAAATTATTTTCATTATATAATTCATAAATTCTGAAATTAATATTTTTCTAAAAATCTAAAGTGTGGACTAATTTCAATTGTGTCTGAATTAAATAGAAAATCAATATTCTTAAATTTAATACTGACTATTCTGATACCTTAGACATCATCTATTTTACTAAACTTTCTTCTAAGTTGGACTATAACATTTCTAAAATAAATTTTAGGTCATCTAAAAGAAATCCACCACCACAAGTTAAAAATTTTAGTTTTAAAAACTATAGTGTTACTTGAGGATAACTAATGTTTAAGTTTGAGGGAATTAATACACCTTAAAATTACATGTTTTTAATATACATTTAATGTCCATTTTTTGCACATTTTTTAGGATATTGCACTTTAAAGGAAGGTATTGTGCATGTTTTTTATTACAGGGGCAAGAAATAGAGTTTTAGCAAAAACGAAGAAAATAGTGTAATTTGGAGTCAAATCGAGCAAGGAAGAAAATTATGATCTGACACATTTTGATATGTTCTGACACATTTTGATATGTGATATGTCTTTCTATATTTAATCTCCTTAACATTTAACACGTATTTTCGAATGAAATTACACTTTAAATAAATGATATTTTCATGTTTATTTTGTAGGTATAACACTTGGGGCAGATTGGAGCTAAAACGGGGCAAAATAAAACGAAACAAAAAGAAATTGGGGTGCTGCCAGCAAGGGTGGCACTATAGCGCCAGATTCTTTCGCCATAGTGCCATTCACGTTGATAAACTGGCGCTATAGCACCGATTTTGGTGCCATAGCGTTAGAAACTATTTTTGGATGGTTTTTGCCCGATTTTTGGAGTTAAAAAACATCATTTGGCACTTGGGAAGGCACCTTTTGATATTTCAAACTTTTGGAACTTCCAAGAATATTTAGAGGTCGTAGATAGGAGTAAGAATATAGATTTTTTACCTTTCTAGAGATATTGGTGATAGATTTTGAGAGATATCTGAAGGAATTGCAAGGACTTTGTGTGGATCAACAGGAAGCTTTGTTGGAGGGATTTTCATCTTTCTTTCAGAGTAAAAAACTAAGTATCGTGTTTTTCTTTATCTTTAATTGTTGTAAACACTTTTCTATTGAATTTGTTTTGATTCAAACAAAGTTTTCTGTTGTATTTTCTCCATGCTTATTGAGTAGTTTTTCTTACTCTTTCTCCTTGTAATGATGATATTTAATCATGTGTGGGATTTAATGGTTTGAAGATTTTTTTTATTCCAAAATTATGATGGTATTTTCATCTATTCTTTGTTGACTTTGCAAACTGGCCACATGTGGGGTTAAAATCTGTTACGAAACATGACATGGGAGGGCTATGATTCACTCAACCAGTGAATACCATACTTAGCTTTGGAAAGAGTCATCACGATCGTCATAGGAGAAGTGCAAAGAAATAGGGAGATAAGTTTTAATGAGCGTAAAATTAATGTTCTAGGGTGGAATGCTAGATTCTTTTATCAATTCAGTTTGGAGTTTGGATCTAAGGGTCCTTAGTAGGTCCTATAGAAGTAAGAGGTCAGAATCTACTCAGCACTACTACACAAGTTGGAACAAACTTTAGATTAGCCAACGTTCTTTACATGAACTGAGAGGGGATAAAGAATATGTATGTTTCTCTTTGTCACAATGCATTATTTAAACCTTTAAATCTTTTGATTTCTACATAGTTTATAATCTCATCACAAGGGGAAAGTGATTTTAATTGTTTAAGATCTTTCCAAAATTGAACCACTCTCCTTAATTTGGTTTTTTATTTAATTTACTTAATTATAATTTTAGTGAAATTATTGAATTTAGTAAAACCAATTTTCAAAAATTCGAAATTAAGACCTGACAGTAGTAGACTAGAATTATCCTAAGGGATTTCTTACTTCGTTTCTCTGTGGGATCGATATTGAAATTTTAAAAAAATATAGATATTTCTTGAAACGATACGTATACTTGTATAGTACCATAGTGTGTAAGCTATTAATAAAAAACTCTAAATTTTATAACATATCAATTTTGCACATTAGCAGTTAAATATAAATTGGGTAAAGTTTCTAGTCATTTTTTGGAAGTTAAATTACTGCGTAATAGCGGGTTTGGTCAAGTTTTTGGCGTCGTTACCGGATACTTGATTTGAATTAATGTGTAGCACTAGGGTCGTACCAAAACACATAAATATATCAGTTTTAAAGTATAAAAATGACTACTAATTGTATATAAAAAAAAATAAATGTTATATATAAAAATTATCCTTTTATTAAAAAACTATTAAGTTCGATTATCATGGTAAGCTTGATTAGCAGCCCTAGACCAACCGTTCGCTCAGCTCGTGCTCCCCTCTGATTGTACTCTCAAGGCGGTCTCGGGCTTCATCCGTCGTAACCCACAATGGCAGACAAATCCCCATATTCCCTCGAGTACCCCACCATCGACCCTCACCACTTCGACCTCATCGTGTACGGCAGCGGTCTCCCTGAATCCGTCATCGCCGCCGCCGCTTCTGCCGCCGGGAAACTCGTCCTCCACCTCGATCCCAACTCCTTTTACGGTTCCCACTTCGCCTCTCTCCCCCTTCCCTCCTTCTCCTCCTTCCTCCAATTCACACCTCCCCTCCCTTCTGAACCTTCAGCCGATGGATTCGTTTCCTCTTCCCCTTACCACTTCGTCGACTTGGAAAGTCGTTGCGTGTACTCGGAGGTCGAGATCGCCGACTTGCCGATGCCGGAGCCTTCGAAAAGCTTCATTGTGGATTTACCCGGGCCTAGGGTTTTCTACTGCGCGGACAGGGCGGTTGATCTGATGTTGCGGTCGGGTGCCAGCCATCATGTTGAGTTTAAGAGCGTGGAAGGGAGTTTGATATATTGGGACGGGCAACTATGCTCTGTGCCGGACTCGAGGCAGGCCATCTTCCGTGATCAGAACCTTTCCCGAGCGGAGAAGAGCCAGATGATGAGGTTTTTAAAGCTGGTGCAGGGCCACATCGAATCGGAGTCTGAGGAAGCTTTTGCGATATCACCGGAAGACTTGGAGATACCATTTGCAGATTTCCTCGACAAGCAGAAGCTTCCCCCCAAGATAAGAACGTAAATTACACATCAATGGCCTTAATCGACTTATGCACCTGCAATATTTGTTTTCCTTTTTTTGAAGCTCGTTAATTTTTTTGTATAAAAGTAATATAATTATATTTATTTATACTTATGTTTTTGAATTATATTAATTCTTTTGCTTGGTATACGCTAATCATAATAATTGAATTCTAAATCAATGGCAGCATGTAATTATTTTTTAATTTCTTATAATTCAAGCTAAACATTCTCTGAGCATGCTCATTGGGTTAGGACAGATGAAACTCCAACATGATGTTTATGAACTAAATGGAACATAAGCTAAAATTGAATAAAATAAAAATCTAACAATTTGAACACAAAAATATCAAACTTACTCTGGCTTGACTCTTTTACACAACCGGCAACAATAAATATGTGTGGGCAAGCACACACACAGAGAGTGAAATAGAGTGAGAGAGATGTTTTCTTTGAAATTTTTACTCGAAGTTGTTTTATTTTATAGATTTTTTTTTCTTGTAAACAAAGAGCTTATTTCAATTTGCTATTTTGGAGCTATACTAAATTACGTTTCCCGCTTAATTATTTTGACATTTGAATCTAATGATTATTTTCATGATGGTACTCTGTTATTTACTTTTTCTACTGGTTTAGCTCATTGAATAGTGAGTGACATCTTTTTTAAGATCGAAACTAGTTTATCTTGGAAGTCAATTTTTTTTAGCATTTGATTGCTTGAATTTTTCTTTTCCTAATTCTGATTAACAACGTTGTTATTGATGCAAAACAAACCTGTTACTAATGCACTACAGAGTTATTAGCTGATCCGTAAGGTTACACATTCTTGGTTTTGTAGGATTATATTGTATTCCATTGCATTGGCTACTTTTGACCAAGATGATGGAGGTGATTATAGACATATAGTCAAGACCAAGGAAGGAATAGAGAGGATTGCTCTTTATATTTCATCACTTGGGAGGTAATGACAATCAACCCGCCCTTGCCCATCTCTATTTAGGTGCTTAGTTTCTTCTTTGCTATTTAGCATCCTCATATTAGATTTCTTTGTATCTGGCGATCCAAATATAAATGAAAAAAAAAAAAAATTAGTGCAACTCTTCGCTTGACTAGTAAATGATTTAGATCTTTGTTGAATCATTTAAGCGGCTTGCATTTCCCATGAATATGTAATCATTTAAGCGGCTTGCATAATTAATTCGTTGTATCAAAAGCCCTCATTGTCATAATTAATTCGTTGCATAATTAATTCGTTGTATCAAAATTAGTGCAACTCTTCGCTTGAATCATTTAAGCGGCTTGCATAATTAATTTCAAAACTTAAAGATTAGCTGGATGCTTCTATGAATCGTTGTATTAAAAGCCCTCGTTGTCATTGCCTAAACTTTATGGTGTTGATGGTCTCGGAATAAAGTTCATGGTGGCAATTGAATTAATTTAATCAAGCCACTTTTGAACTGTGATTTTTGTTTTTCTTGTTGGGTTATCATCATCCTTAGACCAAGTGCATATTGAGATGTTTTTTTACCAACAATCGTCAACTACTGTTATTAGCGAGCAATCATTTAGCAAAGCTCTGGCAAAGTTCTTATGTGCACTCTTTTTTGCTGATTAAGTTCCCAAATTTCCACTTGACGCATAAACTATCTTCCAAAGATTTCAATTCCTCGTCAACTTTCACTTAATCTCTGCCATGAGCATTCACATTATTACTTTAATTATCATCCTTCTGACCATCTCTCATTTGTCTATGATTGTTTTGGGACACCCCCTTCTCATCTCGCAGTGTATTTCCATTGGATAGACCTTTTTTTATGTAAATGATAAAAGAAATTTTTTACATTGCATAGACAGATAAAGTATGTTTATGGTATTGAGGAACAAGTGTGTTACTGAAGATATAATATCCTAATGAAAATTTTTCGTGCTATTCACCAAGTATACTTTCTTTGTGAGTTGCTATCTTGTAAACCAAATGCCTTTTAATTTTGGTGTACCTTTTTAGGTAAAGTTGCTAAAGCATGATTTATTTGATTCATTTGCATATTTGGCCTCCAAAATTTTGTTGCAATTATTTTAACCTTATGTATCCCTGCTTACCCGGACAATGGCAGGTTAACCAATTCGGTTGGGGCATTTATCTATCCCATTTATGGCCATGGGGAAATTCCTCAAGCATTTTGTCGATGTGCTGCTGTCAAAGGGACTCTGTATGTAAGTCCGCTGTTTCTCTTTTTTACTTTGATATGCAATCATTATTGGCACCATTGGTTAATTTCGCATTTGGATATGACACTATAGTTTACTTTTTAAACTGTGTAGTCATGACCTTCATTTCATTTTGACTTGTCCAGGTGTTGCGTATGCCCGTGAAATCTCTTCTTTTTGAAAAGGTATAGTGGACCTAATCTAATGCCCTATTAAAATTCTACTTTTGGTATTGCTAAATTGTATGAAATTATTCGATAGTCATTCTTACAGATTTTGGATATTTCTTTATGAGGTATATTTTAGTCTTGGTCTTCAAATTTTTTGAAGATTTTATTTTGTATTATTTGCTGCTGCATTTGGATCATAAGATAATAAGGCTATGTTTCTTGTTGGCTTCTATAATCATGCCATTTCTTTCTGTTTTCCATTGTTAACTTTTCCAATTTCTGCTTACTATGCAAGCTATCATTGTGGTGATGCAGGTAAGCAATCAATATAAAGGTGTTAGATTAGCTTCTGGTCAGGAGATTTTTAGTCATCAATTTGTTATGGATCCATCGTTTACAGTTTCATCGTCATTCTTACCCTTAATCGATCATAAAGTTTTGGATGGGTCAAACCTAGCTAGCAAGGTTGCTAAAGGATTAATCATAACAAGTAGCGCCATTCAGCATGATTCTTCTAACATTCTCGTTATCTTCCCCCCTAGATGTAATGTTCATGCTTCTTTACATTGCTTACTTTTTCTGTCTGGGATGGATATTCCTTGGCTACTGGCTATTTTCCTCGTTCATCATTTTTTGCAATTCACAATTTTTAGTTCAGAAGTGTTGTCTGAAGCTTGTTCTGTCAGCTTTGTTCTCTCAGCAGTCAACAACCGTGCGAGTTCTTCAATTATGCAGCAATGTGGCAATATGCCCTTCTGGAATGTAAGTTCTTTCTTTGTAGAAATTTAACCTTTTATTTTATAAATGCATTCAATGCCAGAATGCTTTTGTAAATTCTTTACAGCTGAATCCTATTTGCATGGATTGACCAAGTTCAGCACGCTCTCAACATATGGTGCATTGGAGCCTGAATTTAAAATTCATGACTACTTTGTAGGTTTTTGGTTTATCTTTCAACTCCCTGTGATGATGCTAGTCTTGGAAAAGAATGTATACATGCTGCCATCAAAACACTTTTCACTGTTCCTGACTCGAATGGTTTTGACGGAATAGCTGTAAATAATGAAAATGTTGGAGCATCCAAGCCAGCTGTATTATGGAGCGCCATATATATTCAAGAGTTAACACAGGTAGAAATGGAAATCAATTTTATCATTAAAATTGCATGTGGAGCACTTTATTGAGAAAAGCAATTGTGATCATCGATTTAACTGTTCACAATTTTTTTTGAATTATATATTTGCTTAAGCTCAGTTGATGATTTTTTTTTAAAACTAATGTAGGCCTCATCTGGTGCTTTATATTCAAGCCCTATGCCCGATGAAAATCTTGATTACAGGAATACGTTGGAATCAACAATAAAGGTATCACCTATAAGCTTTATGAAACCTGTTGCTCAGGGATTGAGTATTTTTATTTTTTGTATAACTTGAGAATTTACTTTCTTGTTGCGGATTCTAGTCACCATGCAAAATGGAAAAAAAATATTATGTTTATATGATTGTTAAAACTAAATAGTAATTTGATTTCTTTCTTCCTAAGTGATGTTTGACATGTTAGGTTCGATGGTTTGGTAATGTGATATGATGTAATGCCCAAAAAAAGAAATGCACATTGTTGGATCTTGTTTTATCGATCAATGAGTTATGTCAGAACCTCTTTACTATTCTAGAGGAAAAGAGGAGATGGATAAGAGAAGAGCATGGCGGAAAGCTATAAGAAAAAAAAATGAAAATTCATTATTAGCTCAACAATAATTATAGGCTCGAGCACACAAGGTTGCATAACTGTACAAAATAAGAGACTTTTACCCTTCCTGTGATTCCTTATTTATAGGTGAGGATTGAGGTTTTGAGACCTGCAAAAATGGCTACAAAATGTGTTATACATGTCAGTATAAAAAAGTTCAAGTGGTGTATAGCCTAAAGACTTAGACATTGACTGATTGTCAGTTCTTGAACTTGGAAAAGTCGTTGGCTTATCCAATGATAATTGTCGACTAGCTCTCTTGGCTCCGGTGATTATCTTGGCCGTTAAAACTGGTTATTTATGAGCTTTATAGATATATCTGCATACATATTGCTCGGTCGTCATATAGGTACACACCGGATGATGTGTCTGCCTTGATACTAGCGAGCGAACGTCTTGAACCTAGATTGGTGATCCACCACTTTGACCTAGTCGGCCAGTCTGCCTTTATGCTCTACATTTAGTTCTCTAATTTCCTTATGTATTTGAAATATGATCACAAAAAGAATAAGAGAATGATAAAAAATCTTATTTTTATTTATGAGTTTTTTTTTTGTATGCTCAAGTTCATTACCTTGTTATGTCTTGTTAGTGCAATAATTGGCATTTAAAGCTCACAAAAATAGCAAGTAGTGAAATTTAGTATAGCCAGTATAAGGTTATATTTATTAGTTTGATTTTTTTTAGCATTTTGTACACGTCAGCATATTTTAGCTACCTTAAATGGTCTTACCCAACCAAATCGGTTCAGCTGAGAGAAGCGCTGGGTTGGTTGTCTCATATGTTTGGGCTAGGGTTGCCGTCCAAGAGGAGTGACTTCCCTCTTCTAGTTATCTACTATATATATGTTTTGGTTAGGGGCTGAATCGGCTGTACCCAGCCAAATTGGTTTGGCTGAGAGAAGCGCAGGGCTGCCTGCCTCATATGTTTGGGTTAGTGTTGCCGCCCAAGTGGAGTGGCCTCCCTATTCTAGTTTTCTACTATATGTATGTTTGGGTTAGGGGTTGAATCGGCTGTATCTAGCCAAATTGATTCAGCTGAGGAAGCACAGGGTTGGCTGTCCTATATGTTTGGGTTAGGGAGGCCACTCTTAGGGTTGCCGCCCAAGAGGAGTGGCCTCCCTCTTCTAGTTATTTACTATATATAT